GACTGCCAACCGTGATTACGATGTCTCGAAGATCCGCACGAATCTTGATAATTCATGTTCATTACAGAACTCGAGGGTGAACCCGTTTCTATGGGAGTTTCATAGTTTCTAGCGGGAGACGGAGGTCGCTTCGAGCGCTTGGAGAGAGCTTTATGCAACTTGGATTTCTGTCGATTCAGCAGAGTCAAATTGTTGATTCTTCCATTCTGGAAGTGCATCACGTCATCAACATCTTTGTCGGTTTTCATCACGTTTTTTTGCACCTGTATGGCTTCGTCGATGGATGTGAGCATTTCCACGATTTCGTCCATCTGCTTCTTCGTGTACTGCTTATGAGCATTAATGATCTGCGTTAGTTGTTTGCGAAGGAAATGAGTATCCATTTCTTTGGATTATTTCACTCAAAATTTTGTACTTAGAGAAACTTTGGTGATCCGGCGTAGACGAGCGACTGCGAATAACTAAATTTGCATTCCTCGCTGACTGCTTTATATATACCCACACGTGTGTTCATTCGATACTTCTTGCGGACGACGGACGAGGTGCGCTATTAATGTTTCTGTTGTTGTTGTTGTATTATTTTTTTTGTTTGATAAAGTTTTAGCTATTGCATTTCCAAGAGTTTCGCGTTTCTCTAAACAAACGATTCGATATTTATGTTTACAGTATTTCAAAAATCACGTACGACGTTGAAGCACAATGCAACGAGCCATAACAAACCCAAGAATTACACGATCATTTCTTTCGTAATTGCTTTTTCTTTATAGTTATTTCGATATTTTCTTTCACTTATTGATAATTCAAGATTTGCGAAATCGTTTGCATTTTAAAAAGGATTTGTTTTTATATTCATTGTAATTAAAAGTCAAATTTTTAAATTTATATTAAATTTATTTCATTAAGTTTCATTAAGTTTCATTAAGTTTCATTAAGTTTCATTAAGTTTTTTATCAAGTTTCTTATTAAATGTTATTAAGTTTCATTAATTTCATTAAGTTTCATTAAGTTTCATTAAGTTTCATTAAGTTTCATTAAGTTTCATTAAGTTTCATTAAGTTTATTAAGTTTCATTAAGTTTCATTAAGTTCCCTCATCTTCTCTCAAGTTTCTTTAACGTTCCGTAACTTTTCTCAAGTTTCATCAAGTTTTTTAACTTTCCTTAAGAAACCTTAACTTTTCTTAAAAAAAATTAAACTTAATTACTAATTCATTTGTAAATTTTCAATTAAAAAAGTAAATATGTTTCATCAGCGGATAAATTAGTTAGCACTATGACATCGGTAAGTTACAAAATTTACGTAACGAAGGTCTTATGAACATAGACGATGCCTTTCTTTCCACACACAATTTCCGAGTACAACAACATTACGAAGAACCGGATCTTGACCGTAGGAACTTTCTCCGCACGACAAAAACAAATCTGACTCATCCGAAAGGCCCCGATTCTTCTAGCAAAAATTTCGTAATCCATTAAATAATTTGTCCGCTACGAGCGTTGAATTTATTTAACGCTTTTGCATAATTCCATTTCGATAATCGATTTCGTATGTTTGTTTGTTTTATGAAACTGAATCAGCGTCAGTACATGTAAATTGCAAATTTATTGATACAAACCAAATCCGTTTTCGAAAAGCCACTGCACATACACACTAAAATTATATTGATGTTATGTAAACAATTAAATTATTGTTTACTACATTACAACAACTATCCATTAACCAAAGAAATTAATTGAATTCATTCGTTTTTTGTGTAAATAACAATTTTTAATATTGGATTTCATTAATGTGTTTTGCTACTAAACATTTTAAACCAATTACTTTTCATATTATTATTTTTACTTTCGTGTATTCAAATTACGTTTTTCAGCAGTTTCAACTACTTTTAAGTTATATATTTCATTCATGAGTTACTTTATACTATTTATCAAAATGAAATTTGGTAATTACTTTACAAATATAAGTATTAAATTACATTTTTGCAAAAAAATTATTCCTGAGTAAAATTTTTATTTATAAAAGAAATTTATAAATTAAAAATTCATTTTTTTAGTACAATAAAGGTTATAATATATCAAAAAATATGCTTTAATAAGAATTTAAATCTTTTTCTGAAAAAAAAAATCGCCAAAAAAATACAGTTATATAATTGTAATTAATCAATTTTTGGAATTACAAATATGACTAATTCTTTATATAATTGTAAATCTTTAATGAATTCTTAGAAGGAAGAGCTAAAACAGTAATAAAAATACATTTGTGATATGTTTAGTGAATGTACTATAAACTGTAGAAAGTGCAGTTATATTCTTTGTGAAATTGAATACTGGCAATTTTGATCTGACTAATTTCACTCTTACTTTCATCACAAAATCAAAATATTACAAAGAAATCAATAAAAGTGTAATTAATTATAAAAACTAATAAAGAAGACTAATTACTTATTATATTTTCAAGAAATTTTAGTATATATTTCTTAAAATAATCACCAAATTATCGTAGAAAATATGTATATTTCATTTATTAATTAGATATAAAAAAACTGAGAAAATTTGTAGATTTTTTTAAAAATGATTAGAACATGTTTAGTTTACATTGAATGAAGTATTAGCAAATACTTAAAATTTAATGAATCTTTGATTATATCATCAATTCATATACAATTTTGATTAAAAAAACTCGAAAAGAAATGTAATTTTTAATCGATAATCATTGAAAATTCTTACCTCAAATATTATTACATTTTTTTACAAAAAATATATATTTTACTTACATAATTGTTTAATTAAGAAAATATTAAGAATTTAGTCAATAAGCAGTGTTTATTTACAAAATTTATTATTTCTTTCGACGAGAAATAAGTATGTAAAATTTATTTATTAAATATAAAAAAAATGGGAAAATCTGCATATTTATTACAAAAGAAAATTATAAGAAATGAATAATTAATAATATACAAATAATTACAACATGTTTAATTCACATTGAATGAAGTAATAGAAATGTGAATCTTGTTTTGAAGGCACGGAATATAAAATTAATGTGTGTATGATTATTTTATAAAATTTCTTGCATGAAATAATTAAAAAATAGAATAATTAATAAAATTAATTAAAAGAAACATAATGTTATACAAAAAATTCAAAGTTTCACACATATTTCAATATTATTTATTGGTTTATAATGAAGAATTATTCATATATTTTCTTATCATTCTATGTTTGTTTGTATTTATTTTAATAATACAAATAAATTTTGTTCATATTATTGATAAATTTAATATTTTTTTATTTCAAATTATTTAGAAATATTGGTCATATACAAATACTATTTTTTTTTACACGTTTTCTCTTAACCACGGTTTTAAAAATGTAAATGTTGAAAATAACCTATCCTTTGTTTAAGTTACAATTTCGATTTTCTCAGGAACACATTTACCTTGTAAATCGGGTACTTTCTTTACAAGTTTTCGCTTTAACACTGTTGAAATTAACCTATCGTTGTACAAGGTACTTTTTTTTACACGTTTTCTCTTAACCACGGTTTTAAAAATGTAAATGTTGAAATAACCTATCCCTCGTTGTACAAGGTACTTTCTTTACACGTTTTCGCTTTAGCGCGGTTTAAAAAGTAAATGTTGAAAATAACTTATCACTCGTTATACAAAGTACTTTCTTTACACGTTTTTGCTTTAACACGGTTTTAAAAATTTAAATGTTGATAATAACCTATCCCTCGTTTAAGTTACAATTTCGATTTTTTCAGTCGCATATTTACCTTGTAAATCGGGTACTTTCTTTACAAGTTTTCGCTTTAACACGATTTTAAAAATGTAAATGTTGAAAATAATCTAACCCTCGTTGTACAAAGTACTTTCTTTACACGTTTTCGCTTTAGTGCGGTTTAAAAAGTAAATGTTGAAATTAACCTATCGTTGTACAAGGTACTTTTTTACACGTTTTCTCTTAAACACGGTTTAAAAAGTAAATGTTGAAAATAACCTATTTTCCACGTTTTCGCTTTATCACGGATTTATGTAAATGTTGAAAATAACTTATCCCTTGTTTAACACGGTATTTTCTTTACACGTTGTCGCTTTAAAACGGTTTTAAAAATGTAAATGTTGAAAATAACCAAAAAAAACGGTTAAGATAATTTTGCATACTTTTCGATTTACACGATTTTACAATCAAAAAGTTACAATTTAGATTTTCTCAGGAACATATTTATCGTGTAAATCGGGTGATAAATATACTTTTACGCTAATTTATTAGTTTTTTTTATATATATTTATGTAATATTGCAATATATTTAACAAATTAGTTTTATCCCATAGATAATTAGTATTGTTTTACGAAAATAACGCCTGTAATCAAAATTGTTTGTAAATTAACAATAAACAAATAAACAATGTAAATTGACTACAAGTAAAATCAATTTAACAAATTAGTTTCTAACATTATTTTGACAAAATAACAGCAATTTGTATGTAATCTTTTAGTCCTAAAACGGTGAAATGTAAGTGTTTTAAATTTGTTGCTGAATGGTGGGCGTTTGAAACTGAATAAGGAAAGAAAGATTATGCGCCGAGTGCAATGATCCTCGATCGAAATCCTGGACTGAATGGTTTGCAGAAGTCCACTTTCACTCGCTCACAATACTTGTGTGTAATCTTGTTACCCAACTGGGAATATCCCTTATGTCGAGCCACCACCAAGCAGACGGATGACGTCTTCGTCTGATTCTTTCGCTCATCGTATAAAACACATGGTCGGAACGAACGGAAGACCATTCCAAGTCAAGCTCCTTTTTCGCACTCGAACCACCTCTTCTTGCATCTTGCGTGTGGTGTGTGTCTTGTCTCTTCACGGACGGCGCGTGAATACAGTTAGACGACCTAGTGGTTAGCGCACATCGGGCAACCATCCAGTTCTTCCTCAGACAAGTTCGAAGAGCAAACGGTTTTCAAAGGGTATTCATTATATTTGTTTGAAAATGAAGATGGTTCAGATGAGGATAGTGGCGTTAGTTCTCGCTGTGGCGCTGCGATCTTGCCATGGTCAGCAACCCAATGGTCAGGATCAAAGACAAGGTCAGTACCATCACGAACATCCGTAGCATCACAACGATTTCTCCGTATTTTACACTTATTTTTTTTTACTTTTCTTATTAAATAACTTCCTTCATTTACTTATTTGATTTTACAATATTGATTATTACATTAAATTTGAATTTTCAATTATAAAATAAATTCACGCATATTTTTTATTAATTTAGACAAAAAAATGTAATTATTAATCGATAATCACAGAAAATTCATAACTCAAAACAATAACAAATAATACTACATTTTTTTTTGCAAAAACATATATTTTACTTACATCATAGTTTAATTAAGAAAACATTCAGGATTTAGTCAATAAGCATTATTTATTTACAAAATTACGTAATTTTTCTACACTTTACTAATTATAAAAAAAATCATGAAATTTCATGAAAATAAACATGTATTTCATAATTTTAGAAGTTTATGATTCAATAAAATGCCACCAATTAATTAATTTCAATGAATCATTAATTATATCACCAATTCTTCAATTTCTTACTTTTTTTTTTGCAAAAAAATACAAATTTTAGTTACGTAATTATTAATAATATTAAAATAATTAGTCACTAATTAATGTAGCTTATTTACAAAATGTATCAGTCGAAAAAAATTACGTAAATATTTTCACTTTCTTCATTAAAAAGTTGCTAATTTAATAAAATCATAGCTATGTCATCAAATTTGCTAAATTTTTCCTTAAAGTCTTTGTTTTATATTATTTTTATTTATTTATACATTTTTATTAATATTTTTCATATCGAATAATTAAAGTTTCAAGAATTATAATTTCAATTTTGTTATTCAAGTCACATTGATGAAACGTAGAATTTTTGTGATCAATTCAATCGACATTCTAAAATTTATGTAGTAACGGTTCATTTTTTCGTTCAAATTTCAACGGAAATAAACATAATATTCGACTACTGACACACATATTTTTTTTTGTTTAGAATAAATTGTATAATATCAACATAACACGTTATTTTTTTTTCATCAGAAGACAAAATTAAGTAATAAATTTTACAGCAAATTTTATTTATTTATTCGCTAACAATTTGTTACTTTTTGAAATTATAACAAATAATTTTCATAATTGTTAAAAAGGTTTAAATTTATAAATATTTTTGCTAACATTTTTCTCAAATTAATTATAAGAAATCGTTCAGAAAACACAGGTGTTTTCATAAACTACAAAATCTTACCTAACGCACACTCAATAAATCAGATTGGATTTAAATGCGATTTGAGAATATATCTTGGAAGTGTACGTACGGTGTAATAAATCTTGTAAACGTAAACTCCAATAATCCTCACTGCACACACAAACCAATCTAAATCTAAATATTATTCCGAAATGCAAATCATGTGTTTACTCGAAAATTTCAAACGATGATACACATTGAATGTTAATTATTGTTAAACATTACCGTAAGAAGATTACGAAACGTAATTGCTTTTGGTCATCAGTTATATAAAGTTTTATAACATTGACCTGAATTAATAACAGATATATATCTGAAGTCGATTTTTTTATGTAGATGAAAGAAATACGAAAGTTGTTAATTTTTTTTATGAAAATTTAAAGGTTTATTACAGGAAACTATGAGATAATACAATTTATTGTATGATAGTTAGAAAGATTATAGTTTTAACTTTAATTTGCATCTACGATGATATAATTGTCGTAAGTGGTTAATGAGTAATTAAGTAAAACGTAAAGGCATTAAATGAAAATGAAAAAAAAATGCATATCTTGATTAATAATTAATATTATGGAACTGTATTTATATCAAAAGATGCGTAATTAAAAAGCGCTTTTGATGTAATCATAAAATATATAAATAAATTAACGATTCTCTAGATAATTCAAAAAATTAATAAAAAAAAATACGTTTTTTTTTGTAAATAATTATTGATTTTTTCTTTGTAGGTAAAAATTTATTGGACTGGATTGGATTGGGAACAGGACCGGAGACGGATCCGTACATGGCGCGATCAAATTCCAATTGCCTGAACGGGGATTTGGCGGAATGCTTCAAGTCTAGAGCCTTGGGAACCTTCGACGAGTTCTTCGGAAAAGTAAGATTTCACTGCTAAAACATCGAGGATTTATTGCGTCCACACGAGGGGATACTTCATCCCTTCGTGCGTACGGAACGAAAGAAAAAAGAACGGAAAAAAACTGAGAGGAAAAGTGTACACTAATATATTTAGACTTGAGAAAAAAAGGGAAAGTGAAAGTGTACACGAGACACGAGATGTATTAATAAGTTGTGTAAACAGAACTTTCATAACGCAGATGCAGATGATCTGCGTGGGTGAAGTTATTAAATGTTTGCTTTGGATAAGAGATTAGGTGAAGTTTTGCGGACGTTACTTATTTCTGGGAGAAGATGAGGGTTTTTTTGTAATAAGGGATGGAAGAGGCTGATTATTTAGTGGAAAAGTTGACCGTTAGAAGCGTAGGAGGATGACCATTAAACGGAAGGAAGGAACCAAATTTACGGTCACATATTACACATAAAAACTGTATCAATCTTCCTTATTTATTGTCCTTCCGGACTAAAGCAATTATCAAAGATTTATTTGCATTTCCTTAAGAAAAATATTACAATTGGATTCGAGTACATTTCTACGAGAATTTCAAATATAAGAAGCATTATAATATAAATTTGTTTTTCAAGTTATTCATAGCTATATCAAAAGTATTACAGATACACTTTGTTAATGAAATTCATCCTGCATAGTTATTTGACATGCATTACAGATATACTTAGTTATGGAAATTCATCTAACTTACTTATTGCAAATGCATTACTGGCATACTTCTTCATTGGAATTATTTAAACTTAGTTATTTCAAATGCGTTACAGACACACTTAGTTACGGAAATTCATAATACTTAGATCTTTAAAATATATTAGACACACTTGGTTATTGAAATTCATCATACTTACTTATATGAAATTGATTACGGACATCTTTTTATTGAAATTTGTGAAACATTGTTACTTTACATGCATTACAGATACAGTTAGTTCCGAAAATTGATCTTACTTAGGAATTTTAAATGCATTACAGACATACTTGATTAATCCTTAGATTTACTTATTTTAAATGCACACATTTAGTTATGAAAATTCATCTAACTTAGTTATTGACAGATGCATTACAGACACACTTTTTTATTGAAAATTTTCAAACTTAGTTATTTCAAATGCGTTTGTCTGTAACGTGTCTTAGTTACGAAAATTCATCATACTTAGATCTTTATGTGTTAGAGACACACTTCGTTCTTGAAATTCGTCATACTTACTTATTTGAGATTGATTACAGATATACTTATTTATTGAAATTTGTCAAACTTAGTCATTTCAAATGCATTACAGATACACTTAATTACGGAAATTCATCATACTTAGATCTTTAAAATGTATTAGAGACACACTTCGTTATTGAAATTTGTCAAACATTGTTATTTCAAATGAATTACAGACACACTTAGATCTGAAAATGTGATCTTACTTAGTAATTTCAAATGCATTACAGACAAATTTCTTTATTGAAATTTGTCCTATTTAATTATATCAAATGCATTGCAGACACATCTAATAATAGACATTTAGTGAAATGTATACTTATTTATCGAAATTATTCAAACTTAGTTAATGAAATATATTACAGACACATGTTTACTGATTACAACTAATTGACGTGCCTTACAGTCATATTTTTACAAGAAATTTTGAAAAGAAAATACTATAAAATCATTCACCATCATATGTAAGTACTAAAATGCATTACAGATATAATATTTATTCCTTTGATAAAACTAGCTTTGCTCTTTTATCATCATTACAAACACATTTTTATTTTACTTATTTATAACATTAGTACATCACCATTCATTATCTTCACATACAAATAAATATAATGCATAACAGACACATTTTTACTCATTAGAACATCATCATTCATCATCTTAATTCACAAGTAATTGAAGTGCATTACAGACATATTTGTTTTACTCATTTTCAACATTAGAACATCACCATTCATCATCTTCATTTACAAATAATTAAAGTGCATTACAGACACATTTTTTTTTACTTATTTACAACATTAATCTATGAACATTCATCATCTTAATTTACAAGTAATTGAAGTGCATTACAGACACATTTGTTTTACTTATTTCCAACATTAGAAAATCATCATTTTACATTTTATACTTATTTACAATACTAGTACATCAACATTCATGTTATTAATTTACAAGTAATAATAGTGCATTAGAGACACATTATTTGTACTAATTTCAACATTAGAACAACAACAATCATCATCTTACAACTAATTAACATGTATTACAGACACATTTCCTCACCATTAACATTAAAAAACTACCAATAAATCAATTCATCATAATTAATTACTAAAATGCATTACAGATTAATAATGTTTCCTATTTTTTGTTTGTTTTAGCCTATATACCAATTAAGTGAAAACGCAAGGATAGTAAAGATGCCCGAAACCCAATTAAGACAATTAGTCCACGAGAATTACGAGTACTCGGAAAGTCCCAGATCCGATGAACCCGAATGGGATCAACTTGTTAAATTCGCTCTGAGAAAGGTAAAACCAATATCATCATTATTACAAATAATTACATCAATTTAACTAAAACTAATTTTCAGGTGGAGAAATTCATGAAATCGACAGCTTTCGAAATCGATTTCGACAACGAAGTCACCGAACGTGGACGTTACTCACCAAGATTCGTCGATGAAATCGCCGATGAAATCGATATAATTGAAGATAAAAAGGACACTTTATTCAGTACGTTAAGATTTAAAGTAAACTTCTATTCAGTTGATTAATTATATGATTTTTTTTTAGAGAGGAAGCAGCTCAAGAAATTGTTCATCCCTCTTCTTTTGGTATTGAAGATCTTCAAGCTTAAGCTTCTGCTGTTCTTGCCTCTCATCTTGGGATTGGCTTCGTTCAAGAAATTCTTAGGATTCTTAGCTATCATCATACCAGGTGCAATTGCTTACTTCAAGCTCTGCAAACCTGATTTCCAATCGGCTTTCGGTGGTTACGGATCTCACGGTCACGTCGTTCCTCAATACTCACCAGCAGGAATTGGTTATCATCAGCAACAACACTTCAGAGAACAACCAACTTTCACCAATCATTACGAGCAATCATCTTATGATGACTACAACAGTCATAAAGGATTAACCTTCAGGGATTCACCAAATCAAGCGCAGAACTTAGCTTATTCTGGATATTACAGAAACAGTGGAAAAGATATTCCAGCTGAAACTTCCAGCAAGAAATCGATTCTTCCAGATTCGTAGATTTATAGAATCATCTAGTATTTATTCAAATGGCTTTAAATTATTATATATTACAAAAGGAAGAATACAAAATTGAGCAAGAAAACGAGATGACGTAAAAAAAACTATGCACAAAGCTTTAATGGAGGAACGTTAACTGATTTTCGTTAACTGAGTTACCTTTACCTCCGCTTTTCTTATATAAAACTAAGCTAAAAAGTATTTAATTTAAGTTGTAAAAAAAATAGTTAGTTTAACATTTTGTACATGTATATTTTTATAGATAAATAAACTTAGTTTTTTTTTAATTAAACATTTTTTATTTATTTCATTATAGAAGTTTGTTAATAGTTTGTTTAATACAAAAATACTTCTTTGGTTTCATTTTTTTTAAAGAAATTCAACAAATATGCAATATATTGAACTTTATTATATAATTAACGAAAATATTAGGTTTTTTTTTAGATAATTTTCACATCAAAACATAAATTCAAGCAACCAACAAATCTAGCTAGTAAATTTGGTCACATAATCTCAGCATAATTAGAAGATTTTCCATACATTTGTCAATGAACCAATGAAGTAAAATATAATTTCCCAACAACCATAACAAAACGTTATTTTTTTCATTGAAAATTTAAACTTTTTTACTGAAACTAACTTTTACCTATTTCTTATACTTAATTTATACTATAAAACACAAAATATTTAATGCTGTTGTTTGAGAATAATAAAATAACGAACTTTATCGAAATCTTCTTAAGAATTCCTCAAACTTAATAACCGAATTTCCACTCAACTAATTAATTTTAATATTCCATTCACGGAGCTTGAAAATAATCCGCAGCATCAACAGAATAAAGCTCCATCCACGCTTTTTACATAATTTTTAATTTTTTTTCTAAATCATAATTTTTTTGTCTCTCTTTTCATATAAATCTGCAAAACCTTTCAGAAAACGTCGCTAGAGAAAAAAATAAGTTGTTTATTAATTGGATTATAATAATTAGAATCTGCTCATACCTGAAAAACCATTGTTTCGACCCTTTCCACCTCGGAGCAAAAATTTAATTAGAATCTTATGGATTTCTTAATTAAATATTTTAGTTTTTTTTTCTTTATTATTACTTGCATCCTTTTATATACGTTTTCATGATTATCCTGGATTAATTAAAAAAATAATTCTTTTTTTATATATATTCATTTATAATTAATTAGTTTACTGATAAGTTTTTGTAAATTTTTCATAATTTTTTTTTATTGAAAAATTAATTTAATTTGTTTACAATTAAAAATTATGTAATTTTAACGTAATATAAAAATGATGGATCACATTCTCATATTATATTACAATGTATATTCAAATCCTTAAAAATTGATGTTTTTATAAGTTTTTTTTAAGAAAGTTTTCAAGTGTTTTTATTTTAAATTTTTGTTAAAAATTTAATGAAATTTTTAGATAAATATCTTTAAAACATGAAATTTTATTTGTTACAAAACTATACTATATTATTTAGATAACAAATTTCTTGATAAATGTCTAAAAATTACAGCGATTTATGAGACAAAAACTAACATATTTTTCTTGCCTCATATATTTAAATACATTCATTCATCCAATTTTCCTTACATTTCTTTCGTCTTTTCCTGTTTTCATTCCATTGCATCCCTTTTCTTCCTCATTTTCATTCATCATTTCCACAATTCCGTCCATTCATAAGAAAAAAAACCTTCCCCTAAGTTTATTACCCTTTACCATTTTATTTTCTTCAATTTGAGACCGCTTATTACCTCCTTCCATTATTTCATTTTCTTTTTGCACACGCATTATTCCATCTTCCATTTCATCCCGTCTCCGCTTTATTATTACCCTTTATTTTATATCCCTACGTACATCTTCCATCAACATTTTTTTTTAACTTTACGACATTTTTACTTTATTATTGCATTAACTCCGTTATTAACACCGAGACATTAACTCTCACTTTCTTTATATATATTTTTTTCTTTTGGCTGTGGTTTTTATTCCGTCCATTATGAGGAGAACAAAGAAAAACAGACGCACGAATTAATATAATTCAGTTTATTTTGATTTATTACCTTCATAATTCCTACTCGCTCTTTTTTTCTTGTTCTTCTATGATTAAATAAGATTAATTAAGGAGATTCGTTACAGTTAAGAAAACTGAGCAAGGCGACTTAATAAATGAATAAAAGTTACTTTTAAGAGCCAAATTTTAAATACACTTCTCCCATAATAAACTGTCAAATTTCAGACTGTTCCACCCCCACGTTTTATTTAATTATTCAATTATTACGTACATTAATTAAATGAATCAATATGTTTATTAAAGAAAAAAGTCTCACCTTCCCAACGAGTCTACTCATAAATCTGTGCTATTTACCCTTCATCTATTATAGACTGTCAAATTTCAAATTATTCTATCTCCACGTTTTATTTAATTACTCATTAATTACGAACACTAGTTAAATCAGTCAATATGTATATTAAAGACAAAAGTATCACCTTTCCAACAAGTCTACTCGCAAATCTGTACTTTATACGGTTCATCTATTATAAGCTGCCGAAGTTAAAATTAATAATTAGATAACACTCAGTAATAAACTGTCAAATTTCCAAATGTTCTGTCTCCACTTTTTATTAAATTACTCATTAATTACCAACACTAATTAAATTAATCAAAATGTATATTAAAGACAAAAGTCTCACCTTTCCAACGAATCTACTCACAAATCTGTACTTTATACCGATCATCTATTATAACCTGCCAAATTTCAAAATGTTTTATCTTCACGTTTTATTTAATTATTCATTAATTACGAACACTAATTAAATGAATCAATATATATATTAAAGTCAAAAGTGTCACCTTTCCAACGAGTCTACTTAAAAATATGTACTTTATACGGTTCATCTATTATAAGCTGCCGAAGTTAAAATTAATAATTAGATAACATTCTGTAATAAACTGTCAAATTTCCAAATGTTCTGTCTCCACGTTTTATTTAATTACTCATTATTTACGAACACTAATTAAATAAATCTATATGCATATTAAAGATAAAAGTATCACCTTTCCAACGAATCTACTCAAAAATTTGTGGTGTAAACTGTTCATCTATTATAAGAAAACAAATTTGTTTTAGTGAAATAACTAATGCTAAATATATCATAATTTGAATATTAAAACCATAACTACAACTTTTCGATTGAGGCAAATTTAATTTATTTTCATTTAAGATTACAATTTTTATTTTATTTTTTCTTAATAACTAAATAATCTATAAAACTTTTTACATATTTTATTTTCACATAAGAATCAATCATAAATTGTGCGTATTTTCATATAATAATTGTTATGAAATGTTAATTATTAACAGAGACATGTGGATTTTACGATTTGTTTTCAGTAGAAAATACTCGTAATATTCGAGGTTTAAGCGTGAAGTACGAAAGAGCTGAATCGATTTTCTATGGATATAAATATTATTTTGACACAATCTGCTTTTAGTTTCGAGTAGTTTTATACTTCGTAAATAAAGCTGATACAAAAAGTATTAAACTTTTTTATTTTGAAAGAAAAATTACATAATTTATAAATGTTATTAATGTTTGTTGTTTCTAAGTCAGTAATTTTTTCTCTTTGATTTCACTATAACAAAATTAAATGTAGAATAAAATTGTATAATTCTTACTATACGAATATTATATTAAAAGTAATATAACCTCAAAAGTAAACGAATGTGAGTAAATTAAAATAGTAACGTTTCTTTTATGACAGTTTTAATAATTTGTTCATAATTTACAAATTAATGAAAGAAAAAGCTAGAATTTAATAAAGTTAATTAAAACTATGCGTAACAGTTTTGGAAATAATATTACGTAAGATTTACTCCTTTACAAAGCTGGATTTGAGCACATAAAACGGTCGTAACAAAAGATTTGCTAATTAAAACTATGCTAAAATCCACTGGGGTAGTAGAGAGAATGAGACCGAGTGGGTCTCGTTTTCGTACGAAAAGCCAGACGGATTTTCGTAATTTTCTTCATGTACCGAATATTTGACACATCCCCAGACGCACTATTATTTTAATTAAATTTCGCAAAGACAAAAGCTGGAATTTCTGCAAAACGAAACACAACGAAACCGAAAATAATAATAAAATTATAAAAAAAAATAGAGTAAAATTTAGAATGTAATACACGGCGCGTCACTGTGATGTCTTTTCATCCCCTAAAATTAATTAATTTCTATGTCCTATTAATTGTACATTTTCAGCAGTCATCAAAGAGAAATTCAAATAAAAAATATTTTATGTTTAAATACTTGACAAGTACTTTGTAATAGCATCTGATTAGTTAGATATTAGAATTAACCAAGTATAAGTTACCTAAGTTAAATTTAGAAAAAATACTTGACAAGTAACTTGTAATATAACTTCAGATTAGATGACTAGTTTGTAGAATTATACAAGTATAAGTCACTTGGAAAGTATAGCGTTATCTATAATAAATTTATGTAGAATTTAGATAAAATACTTGAAACTTGTAAAGTTTATATAATATGTGTTAAATTGAGAACAAAAATAATTGACAAGTTACTTGTAATATAACGTAAGATTAGATGACTAGTTTGTGGAAGTATACAAGTGTAAGTTACTTGGAAAGTATAGCATAAAGTGTATTTATTATGTGTTAAATTTAGAATAGAAATACTTGCCAAGTAACTTGTAATATAACATCAAATTAGATGACCAGTTTGTAGAATTATATAAGTATTAGTTACTTGGAAATTATAGCGTAAAGTTTTTATAATATGTGTTAAATTGAAAAGAAAAATACTTGACAAGTTACTTGTAATATAACGTAAGATTAGATGATTAGTTTGTGGAATTATAGAAGTATAAGTCACTTGGAAAGTATAGCGTTATTTATACTAAATTTATGTAGAATTTAGATAAAATACTTGACACTTGTCTTAATAAAAGTACTTTGTTCT